CTACTACTTGTGTCATGAGACTCATTCGTGTTTGAACGTTTCGCCATAGTTCTAATAAAAAATATGAATAAATACATAGGTTGAAAATTTCTAATTGTTATTGCTAACTCACAAGATGATATTTACCAAACAAAACTTTTACCAAACAATTTATTTACCAAGAGAAGAATCACTTTTCCGATTTTCTCACCCGTTAGATCTATCTATACCGCTCGACGCTTCAAACCAGACCGAGTTCAGCTTTGAAAATCTTTTCCTCCAGATTTTATGATTATAAATCTCACTATACAGTGCGTGCTATGTTCGCATACCGATCTTTCTTCTATAAACTTGCCTTTTCGCTCTTTTCAAGTGGCGCCTTTGAAGTGCTCGGACCGTCGTGAGCACGCCTCTCACGTTCTCGTCGAAACCCGCTGACATTTCTTGTACATATCTTAGTAATTTTACTATATTTTGATTTGATTTCTTGTGCCATTTCAAGAGAAAACTTCGGGGAAACATGCATGTCTCAAAAAGTTGCGCTGAAATAACTGAATTCCCCGTAATCACTAATAAACTTTAATGTCCCACGAGAGGGGACATCCGAGTAATATGCTAGAATTACGAGGTCCCACGAGAGGGGACAGCGGAGTGCAAAGTGTTAATTCACTTTTTTGTAAGGCAAATCCATTTTGAGGGCGCCTCGAGAGTGACATAATTCAGAAATCTCGATACCGAATCGTCGAAAAACGCTGGGAGTAATTTAAAGGAGGTTTATTATTATAAAAGTTGTCACACATGTACTGTTATCGAATCGATAGGCCCTCTTTGTTCTCTAAATCGTGCACTATGATACGTATCGATGGAACCAAAATTAAACGCTGAACCATAGAAATGACAATCCTTTTAGTACACCAGATGGCGTCTTATCCGATTGCATTAAAGTAAGATATCTAAACGCGTGGAACAGATATTTTTAAGCGCAAAACTTATTACAATTATTTCTGTATAATCCAGAAAAAGTAAGGAAAATACCTTGTTTCGCAGTTGACAACACTTCCTTTTTTTTACGTGCAACAGAGAATTTCAAATGGTAGCGTAACATGCTTCAAAACGTACCGAATACTGAACCGAATGAAATCTGATTGAACGTTTTAAACTGTCTCCGCAACGTTTATCAACAGAATCGAACGAAAGTAGCGGTTCAGAAAGAGGCAAACTTCCCTTATCCTTGGAATCTGACGAAGGTGCAGTTCCGCTTTGCAAAGAGAAGCGTGTCAGTAGGCCGGTTCATTAAGAAATGCTGATTTCGCTGGTATTCGGATCTTTCGCTAATATTCTGGCGCACCAAAATCCGTTTGAGAAACTAGCAGCGAGTTCATTAGCACTGCTGTTATGGTCTCAATTAAAATTATCAGATGCCTTCGTAATAATCTGTAATTAATGACAGCTTTCGCAGGATCTTTTTATATTTTAAGTTCTAAGTCGCGTTAACAATTGCAGTTATGAGCAACTTGACTAATCTACCTCTAAATTGGAAAAATGTCTATTTATAGAGTACATATATGATGTATTGTACATGATGTACATGATAATTAATATTCGGAAAATATTAATTTTTAAAATGCAATAACTTTTTTAGAACTGGACTAAACTGCTTGATTTTTTTTTTTTTTAGATGACAGAGGGACGAGTCTACTGGACCACAACTAGAACGCTTTTTTTAAATTCTGCTATTACTTGAAATCATAGAAGATATTTTTAAAAAAATCATACTTTTTAACTCTTTTATCTGAATGTAATGAATTTTATCTCTATAATGAAAATTTTAAAAATGCGTTTTGTTGACCCCGATAATTTATATGCGTACTGAAAATTTCATCGAAATCGGTTGACCTTGGTATGGCCATGGTAAACAATAAAGGATCGCATGAATCGCAGTTTTGTCTCGATCTCGATGAAATCTTCAGCATGCATTGTATAACTTACCGAGATCTACAAAGCGCATTTTCTAAATTTTCGTTACAGGCTCAGATAAAAAATGTGACGAAAGAGCTCTGATAAAAAACATAAGTTTCCATTCTTATTTTTATCATTCCAAATAATGGCAAAATTTTTAAAAAGTCACTCTGGTTATGGTCTAGCAGACTGGTTCCCCTATCATCGAAAAAACATTCAAGTCGTTTAGTCCAATTCTAAAAAGATTATTTTGTCTTATTTTCGCGCTTTATTTACTGCTTGCCCCCCCCCCCCCTTAAAATATGAATAAAGACATTGTCACAAAAAAGCTAGAATTTCTCAGAATACAATAACGTTGTACGCTACAATTTGAAATAACGACGTGCAGAAAATTAATCTGACTTTCCTTGAGTGAAATAAAAAATCATTGATCCGGTTCGCCATCTCCATTTAACTGTAGATTCGCCGAAACTATACGCTATTAGTTTTCGATTCCAGTTAACGTGAATTTCTCGTTGCCTCGGAAAGTTTCTTCGGGTTAATTAACCTGGGTTAATTAATGCAATTCGATGTCGCGAAGACCGTGTGCAAGAGGAACGGAACAGAAAACGAAGAAACGTGCTGAATGAAGCGCCGCGAAAACCGTCGAACAAGGAGAGGCAGACGAATCCGACGAAGAAAGTGACTCATTTTTCCGGGGAGGAGAGAAAGTGTCCAACTCTGTCTCGGCCTGTGTACGCGTCCGAATTCCGGATCTCTCGACCGATAGTCGTGCGCGGCTCACGAACGGAAACGGATCGGTCAGCTGCGTCAGACCAGAAAGAAAAGTGGAATGATAATAACCGCAGTAACGCGTCCGTTTCACGAGTATTATGTGAGTAAAGCGATCGATACCTTGGCCGATCATGAATCCCTATGGAACTGTTCGAATTCGCAAGGAGAACCGTTGATCGCGTATTAGACCGCTTTAATTATAATAAAATACGCTATAAACACGCACGAGCTTCCGAAGATAGATTATAGTAATTATTAGATTATATTATATATTATATATATTATATAATATAATATATTATATATTATATATTATATTATATTATATTATATTATATTATATTATATTTTATATATTATATATATTATATTATTAGATTATAGTAATCGCTCCGATTCTCATCGATTGCCGAATATTAACATACGCGAGCATTTCGAGCCTCCGGTTGCAAATCTTTGTGCAATGACGCGCGTTCCTTTCTTAACTTTCTTCGAGAAAGTTAGAGACAGTTGCAACACGTTTCGGATAAAAACCGTATCTTTTTCCCTGACCGGCTTGCTCCTGTTGTGATCGTCGTATCCTATTATTCCATTTTCAGGTTTACCATGAAGGATAAAGGACCTATCCAGCTGTGCCTTCTCGCTCTTCTGCTGTTAAACGCCTGCGAGGCATTCTGTGGTAAGAACAGACAAGAATAACTGTAATTTTATCGATATTGAGTCTGTAACGGTGACTCCGCCAACTCTGGATTAATATTCACGTTTCTAATGTTCTTACCAGATAGTCTGTCGAACGTTTCAATCAGCGACTCACCGGGACCATGGTCCGAGATACTGGAGAGTTGGGTAGTCTCCGACTCGAGGACGTTAAGGACCGCCAAGGTGATGAAGCTGGGCGACAACACCTTGATGATTTCCAGTAAAGTATCGACGCCGAACAAGCGAGAAGTTTCCGAGACCGATCTCTACCTTCTCGGTAAATATATTTGCTCGACACACGTTCCGTGCCAAGCTGTTTTCACTCGACTCTTCGCACTGGTCGTTTGATATTTTACTAAAACGATACATTATATGTAATTATTAATTATCGTATACATTAGGTCTACCGGAAAGTTCTGTCCGATAGTGCCAATTCAAGTTTCAATCCATATTGCACACGTTGATTTGAGACATATAGCGCAATTAGAGATAAATCTGTCCACATTATGTTGGACTTAAGCTACAAATCCATGCGAAACACATGGTTTAACTTCAAATTCATGCGAAACGCATGATTTAGCTTCAAATTCATGCGAAACACATGATCCAGCTTCAAATTCATGCGAAATATATTATTTACGTTTAAATGTTTGTGAAAGACACGATTTAGCTCCAAATCTGTGCGAAATATAAGATTTATCTTCAAATTCATGCGAAAAATACGATTTACCTTCAAATACATGCGAAATAGAAGATTGAGCTTTCAAATCCATGCAAAACGAAAGATTAAGCTACAAATCCATGCGAAACAAACGACTTAGCTTCGGATGTATGCGAAATAGGTGCTTTAGCTTCCAATTCAAGCGAAAAAAACGATTTAGATTCAAATTCGTGCGAAGCACATGATTTAGCTTCCAATTCATGCGAAACAAAAGATTTAGCTTCAAATCCATGCGAAACAAACAACTTAGCTTTGTCCAAATCCACCGATGTTTCACTTCGGCAACGTGATGGCTAAATATTACAAAATCACAGTCACCGATTCATTATCAATTCTCATTTCGTACATGTACAAAACATGACCAAGTATGCTTAGTTCGAAGCTGAATGTACAAAACGGAAAGAGAACGTCATATTAAAAATGCCTCATACTGTTTTAAAGCATTGCCAAGTAATGAACGTATAGACCGTCTTCTTGGTGAACATATTAGGTCTACCGGAAAGTTCTGTCCGATAGTGTCACTTCAGGTTTCAATCCATATGCACATGTTGATTTGAGACATATACGACTGTCTCTCTTTATCATTGCATTTACACGCATGTACTCTCCTAAATAAACTGAAACAAAGATGTCTCGTGTCATTATTAAGCGAGACGCGATCGTGGAAACATGGCTACCGATGATAATGCCAGACCACATGCTGCTTTGGCGACTCGTCAGAAAATCGCAGAGCTAGGCTGGCAAATTCTGTCGCATCCACCATACTCCCCAGACCTAGCGCCCTCCGATTATCACTTGTTTCTCTCTTTGCAAAACTTTTTACAGGCAAAAGAATTCAAAATTGAAGCTGATGTCGATCGAGCACTGGTTGAGTTCTTCGCCTCTAAAAATAAATCATTTTTTAAAAATGGCATTTACAAGTTGCCATCACGCCGGCAAGAAGTCATAAGTAACGATAGAAAGTATATTCCACAATAAATATTATTAAATGTATGAAAATTGTGTTATATTTCGATTCAAAAACGAACAGAACTTTCCGGTAGACCTAATAAATAACAATGAAACAAAGTTAGAGAAACAATGAAACAATGAATCACAATTATCATAATATCTACCACAAGAATGGGTGCTAAATTAATGCACCAGTCTTAAATTTGTTAGAAACTATTTTTCTAGCGCATCAAATAAATATGTAAGCATGTACCGTTATGGTTTTGAATATCAGATTTCAAACAAGACGTCTTTAGAGTTAAAAACTCGTGCATTTAACGATAATCGTTTTACTGTAAAGCGTAAGGAATAAAAAGTATTGTAGATTCGTATTTTAGGCTTTCGATATTTCATTATAAATATTTACTTAAAGAAGGACAATTTCTATTTGGCTAAAACGAAGAAATTGAATTTTGTCAGGACTAGAAAGACCGCTTAATCGCTCGCCTCACAATTTCTTTTAACAACTTCTCTTGAAATTAATTAATTTTATTATAAAAATATATATATATATAATTAATTTTATTTTAAAGCAGTTAGAAAAGATTGAATAACGTCAACTACACGTAACACCCATTGTTGAACCTGCTACTGCATTTGAATCGATTTACCGATGGATTAATCGCGATTTACTCTTTCAGGAGCGATCGAGAAGCTCGTGTACAGAGTAGACTTCTTAGAGAACCGGTTGAGAAGAGCAGAAGAACTTCTCTATTACGTGATTTCCGGGAACATGAATCAGAAGAGTGTGTATTCGCGCTGTGCCTATATCAGACTTTCGTCTATTTTCTTCGCAGATCACAACTGAAACTGTCACTTTTCAGAACCGTGTCCTGCGAACTACACAAAAATCGGCCAGCATTGCTACCATTTCAGCAGCCGCGAATTCGACTGGAAATCATCGGCGAGTCTTTGCCGCGGTATGGGTGGCCATTTGCTGGAATTCGAGAAAGACGATGAGAAACGAGATGTGTTCAGTAGCCTGCAGACAAATTCGAAGTTGAAAGGTAAACACTTCTGGACCGGTGGACTGAATCCTGGTCTATTGTGGATTTGGGCGAGCAGCGCGAAGCCGGTTTATCAGAATACGAAGCAAACCGTACCTGGCGACGGCAGGTGAGTGTTAAAAAATTATTTCTATACCTCTACGTTCATTTAAAAATATAACGGTGATCTTGTTTCTTGATTGAAAATCAATTTTCCTTTAAATTTAAACAATTGGAATTTCTTGTCGTTTAAATACTAATTAACTTCGGCCGCTAATACTAATTAACTAATCAACTAAGCCGCGCTTTGCATTTTCGCTAAGGTTACAGGTTCGTTAAGATCGAAACAGTTACTTCGTATGACTTCAGGAATCACCCCTTTCCGGGTGTTAACATAATTATGGAACACTCTGTATATAATATAAGGGCTCTATTCAAACTCTACACGGTTTTAAAAAACTACGTTGAACACTAAACGCAACACTAAACGTACCCATTGTCATTGTCGGATATCTTACAGTATTTTACTTTTTATGTTTACGCAGATGTCTGAGGCTGTCTTACAATTCAACGTCTCGACTGTACTCGTACCATAGTGACGATTGCGGTGCAAGACACAGATACGCTTGCAAATTAAACATGGACGATGAATCGGCGAACAAAATCGAAAAAACCGCGAGGTCGCTAAGGGACGGACAAACTTCGACGTAGCGAAGGACTGAATTATATTGTTAGTAACCCAATTTCATGTTTGAGCCGTTTATTTTGAAAGTGGCATAAGTCACTTTGTTTTTAAGTCGATATATTTAAGTATTTGCGTTTTAACACGTTTAAAAATATGGATGCAAACTTTCGAGAAGATTTACTTGTATTCGTTATCTCAGGATACTGATATTTTTCTCAGTATAAATAATTTCGTATAAACATTAAAAAAATCATCACTTTTCATTACGGTAAAGTGACTTCAGCCACTTTCAAAATAAATAGTTTAGAAAAATGACTGACATATATTAATTTTGTCAGACGTATTTTACTGAAGTAATGTTTTGAAAGGACAGTGATTTACTAAAATTGTTGAATAAATTACATATACAATAATAATTTATACCATGAACATATTTAATATAAAGGCTTGATTTAAGTATTTTTTATTTTAATATTTATAAAATACAAAAATAATTAGTACATTTTGAAACATAAGTATAAGTAATTTATATGAAAATACATCGGTTCAATTTAATTTTCGTCATCGATAGGAGTGATTAAGTCCTCGGAAATCGTGTTTTGTTTCAAATTTTTTAAAT